ATCTTATCTTCATATTTTCTGGGCAACCCAAGGTTTTTGTACGACTGGCTGGGTTTGACAGCCAACAAAATTAGTAAGATTGGATTTGCCACTTTGAAGATATAATATCAGATTGCATGAGGAAAATTCAAAAAATAGCTTGATTTTACTCGAAAAATACGGGTCCATATTCCGACGCACCCTCAAATTAAACAAGAGAAATATCTCTGATCTCATTCTTCATAAAATATCATATATTCATCTTATAGATACGGAAGCTATTTGGAATATAAGATGAAATATATATATATATATGGTACCCCCCCCAAAGACCAAGGTTTCTATATGAGCTTTGGATATAAGTCTGCTTTTACTAGCCGATAGTCATTGGTCTTTGGGGGGGCAGGGTGCCAATAACAACCGTATTATATAACCTCCTTGGGATTTTCATACAAACCTATATATAATAATCCTTATACCATTTCCTTTCGCACATTCCAGGAGGATTATTGAACTCAGCAGGCCCTATTGAATTCAATAGATCTTCCGGATTGAAAATTGAAGATGCCTTCAAAAAATTTCCGGGGAGATCTTCAATCTTCAATCTTCAATCCGGGAGACCTATTGAATCCAATAGATCCTATTGACTTCAATAGGTCTTCTATTTTTTTTTCCATTAATCATAATTTAAATTCTTGGAATTTCTATATTTCCGATCACCAGAATCATTATAATAGAGATACCTTCGAAATCCTCCCGCGATCAAATATAAATTTCATATTTTACGAATAATTCTCTATTGGAAATATCGCAATTAGATGAAATCCGCAAATCTATAAAAATCATCGAATTTGCTGGGTAAGATTAGAATTTTCGTATTTTCGAGATCTATCAATATATTAATAAAAAAAAATAAATTTTATCAATAGAATTTCATAAGAGAATCTTCCCATAAATCTACGATTATCATCGAAGATTTAGATTCAAATATCTTTGAAGAATCTTAGATCTCTAGCCATCGGAATCATTCATATAAGAGAGATTCTAAGACCTGCCCATAATTTAAATAATATGATTCATTTTGAAAATAATAGAAAATCATAGAATTATTCAAGAAATAGAGAGAACCCCCCTCCCAATCCAATTTAATCACATATCTTATAGATAGAAAAAAAATAAATTTCCATATTTCTAATTGTCACTTTCATTAAAATAAAAAATATCTTCAAATCCCATCTCGCTCATTTATAATAGAAAATCAAAATCCCAATATTCTATTAGAGATATCGAGTTTAATAGAGAATTAAATTTACGAATATTATCGAATATTCTTACGAATATTTCTTTTAGAGATATCCATCCCTCATAAATCCCATATGAAAAAGAAGAGCCTCGATACCCATAAATAAATTCATATCAATTATATTATATGAGTAATTCCTAATAATAATTTTTTATATAGACTTATCTCAGTTAATTAGAACCTCTAAACCTACGATAACCATAGAATTTAAAAATTAGGAATTATTTTCTAAGAATTACTCTTCAAGACCATAAGAATAAAAAAAAATTTCGAATCTCGTATATGCATTATCAGAAGAAAAAGAAAAAATATTTTTTAATAATTCAATCAATATCTCTCAAATCTTCCTAGTATGCATAAAATCGATATTATATATATATTTCTATAATGCTAGCATTACTATTTATCTTTCCGATATTAATATCAAAATCGATAATACGCAATAATTTCTTTTTTCAATTTTATTTTCTAGTAACCTATGATATAGAGATATTAATTATTTCATATTTAGAATAAAAAAGATCTATATAATAATCTCCTAAATTCGAAAGATTTTTTTATTTTGATAAGATCCATATTTCGTATAAATAAATGAACATTATCCAAACTTAAGAAAAATTAATAATCTAGAAATAAAGATAAATATAAATAAAATCTTTTAATTCAATAATAATAAAAAATCAACGATTTCACGCGCCAGAATTCATCACTATCATAATCGAAATGAAAAATTCATAATATATTTAATTAGACGAATTGTCGTAGTTATAAATCCCCACCAGATACGAATCAACATACGATCCCAAATCCCAACCAGACCCAAAATATTCACGAACCGATACGAATCGAACTAAATACGAATCTAAATGCAGATACGAACCCAAATACGAGGCGGATACGAACCAAACGCGAACCGAATACGCACCAGACACGAATCCGACACGCAACAGACGTGAACCCAAACAAGAACCAAACACCAAAGACGAATCCGGACACGAACCCGGTCGCTAACCAGACGCGAACCCAGACACGGATACGATTCCGGACACGGAGCGCGAACCCGGACACGACTCGGACCAGAACCGGACACGAACCCAGACAAGAACCAACAAGAATAGCGAGTGCAATTTCCAGCCGTTATCTCCATGCTCGTATGCGGAACTCATATAGCTATTTGTGGGTACATCAATTCTAAAGTAAGAAATTAGATACTCTTTATTTAGCATAATAGCATGTAAAATTTCACCTCTATTGAAAATATCAGAAGAAATTTAAGAGATAATATCAGAAAGAAAAAGAACCTAATATTCAAAGACTATACTCATTAATTTATATTTCTATTTTAGTTTTCAACATTCTTAGGATATTCGGATCTATTTTAGCAACAGACTCCTATTGCTTCTATTTGTATAACAAACTATACATTTGAATATGTCATAATTTCGTTCAATTCAAAAATATAGTCACTAAGCGATTCTTCAAAAACACTGATTTTTGGTAAATCGCAAATCAAAAAAAACATTCTTAAACTATTTTAAAACAAACGAAAAGTTCAAACTTCAAATCGAAAATATACACTTCCAGATATGCACGGTTCGACATAAATCGGTTAAGAATTTATTACCCTGAGTGCCGATCATCCCATTCCCAATGAAGGTGAATTGCGATCGCTAGCTCATGAAATCGGAGAATCATACACACACACATATACATATGTCTATATAATTGTGTGATATACATATGTGTATGTTTAGAAAGGCCGTGGATATCTGGATCAATTTTTGGAGATTGTCTGCGGAAGCTTGAACATGGAATGCTTGTGCAAGTAATATGGTCTTGTTGCGACCGCAGAATTGAAGACAAATCCTTGGTGCCACTGCTCGTGCTCCACTGAAGAGACGTGGATGCTGTTCTCCGCCGAGATGACTGACGTTTGCAAGTAGCACAGCAGCACTGTTAAACTTCGAGGGAGTTTCATCTTTATTCATCTCCGAATATGAAGAGGCTTGCAGCCTGCTCCAGAACCGACGGACAGCAAGCGCCATGACGAGGAAAAGTCGGTAATGAGTCATGCAGAAACGGATTTTTATGGATTTTGCATCGGGGAGCAGCAGATGGGTCCACAGCCCTTTGGTGGAATCACGGCTCCCGGCCTCTGACGACTGCACACAGGTTTGTCGAAATCTTCCCTGTGCACGAGCACGGAAAGCGTGTCGCAAAGGAATGGCCTCAAGCTTCAGCGTCTTCTGCATCGTGACCGCGGCCAAGTCTGGCCTACAAAATTTCCGTACGACAGCACCTCTGCAAGTAGCCAAAACACACACGCAATCCGGCCTCCAGTTGTGGTCTTATGGCAGCATCATCTGGGCGGGTGAGCGTGTCGTACATGACCTCAGCTATGTTGGAGAACATGACAGAGCAATCTCCTGATAGGATAAAGATGCAGACTCCATAGAGTGCCACCGTTGTCTCGTCAGCGGCCCTGCTAAGCAGACTCGGTAGAATTTTGAATTGCAGCTTTGGAAGCGCACCTCTTCACTCCCGCGTTTGCCTTCGGGCCTCGTGTGTAATCCTTCAGAGAATCAGCTGAAAAACTTGATTGTAAGCCAGGCGGAATCCGCCTGAACTGCTCGCATCATCTCTTTAAGTCCCTTCTCGCTGGGTTCAAAGCCGAACCTGCAGAGCGGGGGTTCCAACACGTATCTCGAACACAAACGGTGCACGCCATGCCATGCTCGAGTGCGCTGCTTCTCCAAGACGGGCTTCTGCAAAGGCAGCGCCTAAGTTGGCCAAACCGGATGCCTGTGATCAAAGTGTCTCGCAGCCGTCAGCTGCACGTCTCCATGTAAGTTTGCTGCAACTTTGGCGAGATTCGCGAGGAAGGGGCGCTGGCAACAGGGAGGAAAGCTTTTGCCAAATCCACCGTTCTGAAAAAAGTTGCTTAGTAGCCTACTATTCTATCCATACTGAACAAGAATCGCATCCAGTCAGCATACAAAGTCGATGCCGGGGGGCACGAAAGGGAACCATAACTTCGAGCGGTGGAAACAAGCGACATTGTTGATTTGAGGTCACCCTCTTAGCAGTCTTAGCACTCTCGTTGGGAAAGCATTCCAACGCCATGCCTGCTAACCTGAGCATGCCTCCGAACTCAGCTCTAGGATGCTAGGCGACCTCTTGCCTGCCAAAAGCCCCGCCCGCGCAGTGACCACGGCAACATCGCCGGATTACGTAGCAAGGGTTGGTTTTGGCTAGATGCTCACATCCGAAACGAACTCTCCAAGGCAGGGTGGCCTTTTCACCTCGAACATCGCGTGCAAGCTTCATGACCTCAGGAACTAATTCTTTCATACCACGCTGCAGAAAAGCAGATCTGCGAGCTAGCCTGCTTCTGAAACGTAGAGTCTCTGTATGCATCGCGCAAAGCGTGCAGCAAATCCTGCAGGAAACGCAAGCTTTGAATGCATCTAATGTTCCGACAGGCCGCGTCTTGCTCAATGTCACTAGACAACTCTGAACTCTTCACCGCAATGCCGACACGAGGGGACCAGTCACCACTAGTCACTAGTTGCCTTTTCGTGGTAGAGCCTGCTGCTGTTGTCCTCGTCCTTAGTTGAATATGCCCCTCCGTCTTGTCGAGACTGCTTGCACCTGCTACTGTGGTCTTTGTCTCGCCCATCAATCAAGCTGCCCCACATGCCGCTCTCAAGTGCGGCTTCTCGGACTGCGACTGATTTAACGCTCGGAAACTGATTGAATCACGGTTTGGCTTCAACCATGGCATAGCACCCGCTCGTCTTGCTTGCTCGCTTCCTTGCTTTCTTTCACAAGGTAAGATGCTCTGGTGCTCTTTTTAATGCTTTTGTCTTTCAGCTTGCTAGAGGTCTGCGGCGAATCACAAACCCCCAGCGCCAGCCACAGTCCTTTGCACCTTCTCGCGTCAGGTGTTTACGGTTGGAATCCTCAGCACAGGGGTGCGCAACAAGTCAAAATCGATGTGCTGATCCGCCGGCCTGAAAGATTCCGTTAGGTGTGGGCAAGGCTCTCCGCTGCCTGACACGGTGCCCCCTAACATTATTAAACCCGTCGTGACGGCCCATTGGTCCGTGGCAAGTAACTATTGCGGTTCAGTGGCTCGTCTGGCTCAAGCAAATCCTTTGCAGCTTCTTCCTCGTTATCGACCTTGCACATCTGACTCTGCACTACAAGTCCCGACTACATCCCCCTCACATGCCAATCCATTGCACCTGGCGTTCTTCACTGAACACGCTCCTGGACGGGCTGAGTACTGTGACCATTCTGCAACAGTAGATGCCATGCAACATGATCCCTGCAAGACTTGCAAATCTATGCGTCATGCGTCAAGCAGTCTACCAACAAATCTGCGAAATTACGCAGCTGTATTGTGGCCTGCCGAGTGCCTTCTCCATTGTTCGCTTGAGTGATGCCTGCTCCTGGATGCCCCAGAAGATGCTTGCTCTATTCTCTTTGCTTGGAACCGATTGTACATAAGGCGGCTGCCCGCTCGCGAAGGGCCTGCAGCTTCTCACGCTTGGCCTCGCAGCTCACAGCCCAGCAAACACCTGCGCGTCTGGGCAGCGGGGAACGGGCCTGTGTGTCCTTTGCAATTCGCAAGCGATCCGGTCGTCCAACTGAACATTCGTCGATCTTCTGCAAGCATCTCTCGGCCTGCTTGACATCTGCTTGTGCTTTGCCTGCCTCCTGTACCCAAATTCACCTGCCGGATCCGTCAGTCCTCGTCCAGGCTTCCCAAACCTTCTAGGGCACAAGCTCGTCGAAACCATGCCTGAATGCCAGGCATTCTCGATAGGTCATACTGACAGACTTAGCTGATTGAAGCTTCCGTGCATCCACTCTGTTCATGTAGCAGATCTGCCAACGATGTTACTGGACAAAAAGCACACTTTATGCCTTGTGATCTTCTGGGCACAACTGGGTCGCAAGTGTCGACACCTGGCGACGAGTTCGGCACTTCGCGCACGATGCGCAACTGCACCGTGTAGTGGCCTTCGTCGCTTCGTTCCAGTACCCAAGCTTCATGCTCGCCTTTCTGACAAATTCTGCGGCTGCAGTCGTTCGATCACGCTTCCAAGGTTGTAATCACCAATCCAACATTGCAGTCTTGCCTGTGCCAGGTTCTTCAGGACTGCTGCGTGAAGTTCAAAAAGCAGCTCGTTGGTCTCCTTATCTCCTGCCTGCGCATTTGCGAGAAGTAAAAGCACCTTCTTCGGAGCATGACAGCATCCGCTCGCCTTGAAAGGGCGGAGAGTCTCATGAGCTTGCCTGGCAGAAGACTGCACAATGAAGCCCATAGCAAGCTACGAGTAGCGTTTCCATACAAGCAGGGGGGAACCGAAGAACTTGCAAGAGGAGGCTGTCCCTGGCTTGATTGGTGGGTGTCAGCGCGCGCGTATGTGTGTGTGTGTGCCCTTTCTCCGTGCTTGTGCCCCCAGACATGCGAGTGCTCCGATCCAGACTGAGATCTCCCGTGCTGGCTTGGAGTCCGGCTCTGGTGGGTGCTTTCTCGTAGTGTTGGGGAGCCCCCCATGTAGGCCCCAATGCCAGAAGGGCTGACATGGCGGCGGGTACTGCCCTGCCCCCGCAGCGCCAGCACGCGCCAGCATGCGTCAGCATCTAGCTAGTCTAGCCGAAGGCTCACTCGCTTGGAATCGTCGCCTCCAGCTGGCCCGGGCTTCTGCGTAGTTCCCCTGCTCCCACTCAACGAGGCCATCCTGCTTCGAAGCACAGGGCCGTGGCTCCTCGGTTTCTTTGTCTTTCCGCCTTCTTGCACTTCTGGCCCCAGTTCATGATCTGCGCGAGCGTAGTGACATCCGCAACTCGTCGTTCCTGCATGTCTGAGCTTGGAACATTTGGATCACACTCTGACCTTGGGTGTGGGTGACACACAACGTGCCTGCTCTTCCCCCTCCTTCTTCTCCTGAGCATCAGACGCCAGCAGCCTCCAAATAAGGTGCAAGTCGTGCAAACAAGTGGTCATCCGGAAAACGAAGCTGAGTAAAATCGCCATTACACCTTGTGCCTCGTCGCTCGACTCTGACGGAAGAAGAGACCACGCTCCAGCAATACTCAACTTCAACTCCACATCGATGTGCAAGCGGCAGTGATTCGACTTGAGGGGGAACGAACGTGCGAACAAGGTCACCGGCCTGGATCGAGCATCGTACTCCTGAAGCATCTCGTCAGCTGCCTCACTGTGACACTCCAGCACACAAGGCACATTCCTTCTTCCCAACGATCCGATCCGCCCGGCCTGATCACCCTTGGCATCTACCCTGTCTCGAATTCCCCGGAGCACGTTCAAGTTCTCCTGCGAATCGCCCATGCTCTACTTTGCGGAGTGCCGTACTTTCTGCCAACATCAAGCGACCTTTTCAGAACTGCCAAGCATGCTTCTTCTGTCAAGCCGCGCAAGCTCACGGACCCCCACACTGAGGCAGGATGCAGACTTGCTTTTTTTTGGTGGGGGGGGTTGTGAGCTGCTGTCCTCATCTAAGAGCACTTCCTCGAAAGTTCTTCTTGTTTTCTCGGCCTGCCCAAAACGCTCGCTTCCTGGCACTAGACTCACTAAATTAGATGCAGTAGAAGCCTGCCTTTTCAAAGAAACCAATGAGGACATTCATTGTGATGCTGTAGTGCAGAATCGGGGTGACCAAACGCTTGACATCTGCGGGGCTATCCTGAAGAGTCTGTGTGATGTCAATGTCTCGGTGCCACTCGATTGAAGTATCCGAACGCATCCTATCCTCGAGCAAGTCAGAAAGAAGTTCTCGCCGCTGGTTCATGTCCTTGACCTGTGCAGCGAAGCATGTGCTGGTCTGCGATGCAAGACGGCCTTACCAGGAGAAGCAGCGCTCATAGGCACTGGCCTGCTCAAACTGCTTCAGCCACACCTAGACGAGGTGTCGAGGACACCAGAGCAATGCTCACATGAAGTATCAAAGCGTCTGAGAGGCATTCCTCCCTACGGGCATTCCAATGTTGCTCCGTGCGGAGGAGGGCCTCCGAAGAGCATCAACCGAAAGACCGCTTAGTGCTCTACCGGCCGTCCCAGGCCTTGTTGAATGGTCGCCGGGCTGCATGATACCAGAACTCCGGGTCGCTCTGGTCGCGATTGAGGTTCGGATTGTGGCGGGGATCAGTACTGGCATCCAAGGTCGAGATTGCAGCGAGACAACTACCAGTGCAGCAGTGCAGCACAGCACAAAGCAGCAAAGCACCTGTCCAGCTGAAGCTGCTTCCTGTGCCACCTCACAAAAAGCGGCACATCTTCTTCCACGCAGAACAAGGCACATGCTTGCCCACGGTTCTCAAACAAGAGGCTCCCGGTCTCTAAACTTTGGATCCATCTGCGGGTATCCCAGATCCTCACGTGCACGTGCAAAAGGGCAGCCCGAAGTTGCAAAGGGCAGTCCAAAGATTCTGAGCGCTCCCTGTACTCATCGTCAGAGATCCAGGTGGGCATCAGACTTGCTGCCTGGCCAGGAGAGGAAGAGGAAGCGATGCGCCAAAGCCAACGTGAAGCAGCTCCGCTCTCTCCAAACCGGCCTTGGGTTCGCTTGACAAGTGTGCGACGGCCGCCTGCAAGGAGCTCTGTGCCTGGAACGCTGGAACGGACGGTCGTCTGTGCCATGCACTTCTGCCTCTGCCGCTTCTGCCATCTCTGTGCCTCTGCTTGGGCTTCAGCTACCGCCCGGCTCGCCTGAAGCATCACGATCCCTTCCTGCCCCCCATGAGCTCAGGCAAAAGAAGGGTTGGCCTCTTTGGCTTTTTCTAATTCGCGGCGTGCCGCGTCCTGAAGGCGAATTCGCCACTGTGGTTTTTCTGACAAATGCAAAAAATCGAAGCTGTGCTTCGTCGGAGTCCTGCGCAGCTCTGCCTGCTATCGCTTCCAACTTTCGGACAGTTTCCTCCGCGGGCAACACCACAACTAGTGGTCGGTCTCCGACCAAACCGCAAACTGCCTCGTCGAAGGCAGCACCGCCTAAGCCTTAGTTCCAGTTGTTGCAGCGATACTTGCCGCACTAATTGTATGCGTAAGGCAGGCGCGACTTTGTTGTGTTGTTCTCAAGCTGATGCCACCATCCTGAAACAGGACAGATTGACTAACCGCCTGCTGCGGAAAGCACCACGGGTGCTATGATCTCTCAACGACATGCAAGCCTTGGCAGGAGCACTTTGCTTGGTTGAGAGCTGCGACAAAGCCTCCTAGCACATCCGAGATTTGCGGAGCATGCGCAGTTTCGCTCGGGCAGGTCCTCCTTAGCTTTTAAAAACTTCTCGTGCTTCAACAGATCTTCCCCACTCAATTCCTGAGATGCACCGCGAGCCATGCTTGCAGAGTCCCACTCCCTGGAAAATCTAAAGTCGGGCTTCAGTGCTGAAGTTTCAAGCTCCTACCCTAATTCGAGCCAGACTGACGTGGGCACTTGCTTTAGACCGTATCGTCTGGAAACTGGTTAAGTCCGCCACATCCTCGCCCACGATCTTCTTCAGAAGTGCTTCTCTGAAGGCCTGCTGCTTGCATGCCGTCGCGATGGCCATGGCATTGTACACTCCTTCTGTCGATCTCGCACTTTCTCATTCGCGTCGAATCTCGTCATGCTGTAAACGACGGCAAGTCTGCGAAAAGCTAATGCCTTCGACCTGGAGAGTGATGAAGTTGTACTTACTTCTTCTACCCGATAGCTGCCAGCCCTATGTTCGGAACTATGCCAGCACTTTGCCTGGCTTTCTTCGCCACATTTCTGTTCGCGCCAGCCGAATAAGGGCTGCATGCAAACAGCATCTCCGCCCCATGACATCAGGAGAAGTTGTAGTGCTTCCTGATGGGTTTCTTCACATCCCAAACACAAGTCATTCCATCCGGAAAAGTTGCGAGGTCCCCTGCCTCAATCGTTGCAGGATCGGCGTCCGACCACTCTCCAGTAGGGGTCACAGTCACCTCACCCTCCAGAATGTATGCAGTCTCAGTTCCGCTGTATTCCCAGTCGAATTTCGAGGCTCCGCAGCCCCAAGTTGGCCAGGAAGAAACGCCAAACTTCTTGTCGGCTTCTTCCTTGGACATCTTCTCAACTCTAATGCCTTTCTTGAACCTCATCATCGTCTTTGTCTGCTTTGTCTGGCGGCTGGGTATACTGTGTGCCACGAATGTAAAGGGGGAGGAGGCAATGACCATCAACAGCGCGGTGAGACAAACTGAAGATCGGCGACCGACAGACATTCTGGAGTTGTCTGCTGGCTGGCAAGTGCAATCTCGCGGGCATGTGTATGAGCCGAAAGGCTTTCTACCAAACAGCATGTACTGGCTTGCCACATAGAAGCATCGCAAAGTCGCAACCGAGCGTCTTGCCTCGTCGCTATGTGCAGGCTCCTGACTCTGCTGACTCTGACGGTCGTTGCTCTTCAAAGCTGTAAACACAGCTTGCCTGCACTTCAGCGACCATCGCTCCTACTGCGATCCTACAAAGTGGCTGTAAGCGCCAAACTGACTGTTCTAGAAGTCTGCAAATGTAGCTAACAAAACCGAATCTCCACTATGCCCGACTGTGATACAAGGTTGACAATGCACGATTCTGAGCACAATATGTGGGTTAGGATCGGGTGGGACCGGGTCAAATCGCTCACCGTGTCTGGCATGTTCGAAGCTTCTGCTGCAGCAGCGGCAACGAAAGTGAGTGGATGCACAATCTGCGCGTGCAGTCTCTGTTTCGAGACACTGAAAGTTCTCGCACGCTCAAGCAACTAAGGCATGATGAGCCACGGCAACGCATCTTCAATCCATTGTGAAAATCTGGACACTGGTGGCCAGCTTCTGCGTTCTCACGAGACTGTCAAATCACATCCTTCAACCATGAAGCGCATCACACCTGGCGAGCACGCTGCATGATTCTGGTAGGAGCATTACTCCTTGCAGCTTCGAAGCCTTTGCGCGTTTGGCCGCGGGCTCTGCAACCTCCAGATTGCCAAAATCTGCGATGTGTCATGCCGGTGTGGAGCAACGCTCTCCGCAGTATGCCTCGCTCAAAGCTTCCCGCAGCGCCGTGCAAAACTTGTGCACGTCATGGAAAGAACTGGCACATGGTTGTGACACGTGACACATGCACCTAGCTCTTCACCAGGGCTTCTGGTGCTTTCCAGTGCATTCGAAAGCTTGCCAGAAGCGCTTATAGAGAGGAGCAGGAGCAACACGAATGACATTGGGCTTCCTGTGGTCGACCACCTTGGTGTATCAAAGATCTTTGCTACTACTGTGCCATTTCGCGCGTGCCGTGATTGACGTCCTCGGGTCGTTGCTATTCCACGTCTCTCCAGGGCGGTGAAGGTTGCCAGGCACGATCTTTCCTTTCAACAAGATCGGAGCAGCAGCATCACCCGACAAATTCCAGTCGAATCTTTGCATTAGCCGTGAATGTCGCAAGCCTCGTTGAACTTCAGGCTTAGCTGACATCCGCGTGCGGAGGGGCATTCCGGAGTAATCACCTGATGTGGCCCATGATGACACGAAGCTGTGAGACGAACTGCTCCTGGCCGAATGGCAAAGCTAGGCTGACCCTGTGCTTAAGCGCAATCAAGCAACAGAGAGTTGATCCCCGACAAGATCAGCGATCAGCAGTTCCAGGTATGCTGTCAACAGCATCGACCTACCAGTCTCGTGGGCCACTTTGGTCACAAAGGCTGGCAATAACGTATGCAGTTTTCATAGGATGACTGCACGTCTGAGCCGCGATTGCTCCGCAACAAACCAGTTTCTCTGTATCGCATATCCAGGATTTGCTCACGTTCAAAAAGTCCTAACCTTCATTTAAGATGGCCTTACCTTCATGATGTGTCAATGCATGTTGTCACGACGCCCCTCAGCTTGATAGTTTAAGCACCGACAATGCCACAGTTGCAGCCGGTGTGGAGTGTACAACGGCTTTGACTCGAAAGCCGTTAAGACGCCAAACTGCCAACATTGGGCGTAACTACTGCGAAAGCTCCTGTGTTTTCAGGGATGCCAATGTGCTTGTTGTTGATCCGCACATGTTTCCATACCCTGAGCAAGCTTGTGTAAAAGCTGGCAGCTTGCTGCTACGGATTTAATCTTGCCTCTACATCAATTTTACACCATGAGCTGCACGACTGCGCCCTGTGCCCGGCCTTCCACGGAGCTCTGACATCGTCGTCCTGCAAGGCATGTGTGAATTCTTCAGCACTTGTGCACGTCTTGACAAGCGGCTTGTGCCTCGAAAAAATATCCAAACTCGCAAGCAACGAGACGGTCTGCAAAACAGGCGGATTGGACAATCGCCAAGCTCCGGCGTCGACCTGCCGTGCCGTTGCCAACCCAAACAGAAGGTTATTACACGGCTATTCCCAGTCTACAGGGCCACGACCTGGTGATATGACGTGTGAGAACTCGCCTCGGGGTCCCACCGGTGCTCCATGTTGAAGCGAACAGCCTGCTTCTGGCCTCGCAGATGGATCTGCTAGCACGGCTTGGCCATGCAGGATTTTGGCCCAGACCCCACCACCCAGCCAAAAGGGGAAGTCCTGGCGAAGAACGGGCATGTGCCGCCGGCATTGACCTGAACCGTGTCCTTTGTTAAGGTGTTTTCTGTGCACGAAGAAGCCACCGATTGCACCAGGGCCCGCATTGAGGTACTTGTAGTTGCACCTGCAAGACCACCAGTGAAGTGGACTAACAGCCCAGACTTTGCCTGAGAAAGGCACCAGCAGGCTCCGTCCACGCCCCATTCGTGCAAGTTCAAATCCTCGGAGGATTGCAGCGAACTCTTATCCTTCAGAATTGCAGTTCTTCTTCTTCAAGGCTCGTGTTTCTCCTGTACGACGACGACATTTGACTGGACATCAGGTTCTGAAAGGTTCTGCTGAGCTTTCGTCCTTTTAGATTCTTGTTCCTACCTTCATAGTCTCGCAGCGAGACCCGGCTCAAAACTGGGGTAAAAAATACTGGCTTCCGGGGCTCGTCTCGGTGGCGGGTCCTGCTGGGGGTTCGGTGTGCGTGCGAAGTTTTGCCGCTTTGCCCCGGTCAGGAGCACAGGAGCTACTTTTGCGAATCCGGGCAGCGCCATAAGCCAAAAGGAATCATTGGAAAAATCGCTTGCCGTCTCAACGGAGCCAACCCATGGAGCTCCAGCCAAACAGCCGCCGGTATGCGAATCACGCGCGGCTCGAGCTTCCTGCGCCAGTCCGGTGGGTGGCGCTGATCCAGCACAGCTGACGGCCAAACATGCATCGATTGAACACAGCCTGAATCCTGCGGCGTGCTTGATGTGAACCTCTTTCGTAGGATGCTTGCCAAAATCTGCCTTTTCTGTGCACTATTCCGCTCAACAGCTCATCTGTGTTGGATGAGAGTGAGCTCCCTTGCTTTCGGCTGTTCGTGCTCCTGCCACCCTGTCGTTGGATGTTGGCTTCCCTGTTTGTTGATGCATGTGCGTGACTCCTGCATGACGGAACGTTTTTCGCGATTCCGTCCTTCCCTGTGTTCATGCTTCTTGGGGTTCTCCCTTTGTTGGAAAACCTACCTCTTCTGTCGGATATATCGCACATCCCCCGGGATGAGTAGGTGTGAATCGTAAGCCTGCAGTAGCTGCGCAACGAAGGAAGGCTTCAAAGGGTTTAACTTAGATTTACATTCTTTCAATCGCTGGCAGGTTGTCACAAGTTGGATCTTCGCTGGGCCGCAAGCTGCAGGGCCAGCTATCGGAGCTCTTCATATAGTGATTTCTTGTTCGCTGCCGAACTTCAACATCCTCAAACTGCTTTCAAGCTTGCATGGGTCGTTCCTGAGAGCGCGTCCACATTTCCAACAGCATGGGCACAATCCCAGATCGCCTGAACTGCATCTCGCAGATTCTCAGTGTGGCTCTTCCAACTTTATCGAATATGACAAATTGTCATATCCCAGGGGCGAACCTTTGCTCCCACAGCATGGGCAGCCTCTGTGATGGCCTTAACATCAAAATATTGGCCAGTGTAGTACCTGTCTCCATGCAGAACGTCAGATCCGGCTTGTCAAACGACGCAGAGGAGCACTGCACGGTACCCAAACAAACAACCGCAAGGCTGTCTCCCGCCGCCTGAAAGGAGCAGCATACACGTCCAGTCAAACGGCGGTGGTGCAGCACTGTGCATTGGGGCATAAGCTTGGATTGCACTCACGATGTCCTCGGTGCTGAGCAGCTCCTCACCCGGGCGAGCCTCAACGGTGACCACCGCAAGCACAATCAGGTTGGTTGGTTTCTATGCGAACGAATCAGAGTAACGCATCGGCTTCAAATGAAACCATACAGCCTTCAAACGGAAAGGGCTGGTGCAGTCTTTCGCTGTCGCCCGAATCTCATCGTTCAATCTGTCCTATTTCTGCAGATCACTCGCTGCCGAACTCAATCTCTAGCAACAACCAAGAAGCGTTCAGCGGCAGGAGCACTTTCGTCGGATCAAGTCCGTGCAAACGTGCCTGTAGTGGCTACGGACCAGTGTCATTGTTCTTCCACAACTCTTAATCTCGAGCCCGCCTGCGACTCGAAAGCAAAATAATCCGATCCGAAGGCGCTCGCCTATGGAAGTGGCTGTGAAGTCAATGGGGGGCGCCTTAAGTGTTGAGCTGACTGGGACTGTCCTGGCCTCGTACATTATTCTGTTCCGACTCCCTTCTGGTCGATAGAAGGACACCTGACAATGGAGCAGTCTAGGGTGTGCTTCGATGTGGGTAAAGCCAAGTGGTCCGTGCCAAGCTGCGAAAAGCAAATGCAAGTTCACCGTCAGGCTGTTCATGATGGCTACCTGCACCGAGTGGAGAGTTGCTTGAGGCCAAACACGTTGTTCCTACTGCTTGCCTCATCTTTTTCCGCTCCGACAATGGCCGCGCTCTGCCTAGCACAACACGCGAAACGTCAGACTGGATCGTAAAGTTCAACGTCGCTTTGCTGAAGATTTCGGCTCAGCGCTGGATGACGTGTTCGTCTATGGGCATCCACGGCCGGTCCCTGCCAGCGCGAACTCTGCTGACAAACTGCAGTATCCTTTATGAACTGATCATGCCTGAGAGCTGCGCCCTGTGAAATGGCCATTAACCCCCCATTTTGCCCACTTGTCCAGCTCCTGCATTCCATGGCATGCACCAGATCTGACATCTGTTTGGAAAGCTCATCGTATCCTCCGAAACCAGCGCTCTGGTTCGGGATGGCTGAAGTCCAAGCGAATTCCTGGCATGTCTGCATGAGGAAAAGAGATGAGTCATGACGGCACTGGGAAAGCACGGCAGCAGGGCCCGACAAGATACACGCACTCTTCATCGACCCGCACCAATGCGGGATCGATTCCTGGCAAGCCTCCCGTTGAAGGCACCTCAAGCATGTCAAGTGTCTGGGCGTAAAAGCAGCAATCAAAATGACAAGTTCAGAGCGCCGAGACAGGTGCCAGGAATGCAGAGCGCTGAAAAGACGGTAGGTCTTGAAGCTTCTTGTCCAGGAAGTTTGCTACCTGAGCATCCGTTGTTGGCGGCAACTCCGGGGCATTGACTGGATGTGTACACGCAGTTGAACATGAATGCGCATACAACTCAGTCATTGTTGGAAGAATTGCCATGCACAACTTCGAGCCTCCACAGCCGAAATTGATGCACCAAATGCCTGATGACAAATGGCGATGGGCACAGGTCGATCGAGTGTGCAAGCTTGCCTGCGCGGCATTTTTCAGATCTGATTTTGCTCCGTGGCCATGGTTCGTCGCCAATGATGACAGCCATGCCTTGATGCTGCAGGTTTCCACTATGCAGCATCTGCAGCTGCAGCAGAACAGGTTGATCGCAAAATGGGAGCCGGACTGAATCTAAACTGCTGCCTCGGGCGAAACTCCAGGCATGACAACACCATCGCTCGTTCAGTTCCAACCCACCTGGTGTCAGTGCGTGGTGATCGATGGAGGAGCCATTGCGTTTTGCATTGGGCATGGTGCTGCTTGTTATTGTATCTGTGCTGAAGATGCAAGCTTTCAAACTACTGCCGGGGCGGTGTCGTGGCCAAGGCTTTTTCTGGTCCGACCTGCCCCCCCCCCCCGCCTCTGAAAACACAAGGTGCAGCGGTCTCAAGCAAAATCGGGCTGTCTGCCTGTTCAGGTATTTGCAGCAAATCACTTTTTGCTGTGGCCACTTCGAGCAAAATATGTTACTTGTCATCTCTCGCAGTGCCCACATGTCGGCCAGAGCCTTGAGCTTTAAGGCTGCAAACGTCCGAATCTTGACAGGTCATGACATGTCAGTCTCGTGCCTGGATTCAGGAAGTGTGATGCTGATGTGGCAACCGTTCTCCCTTTTGGGCTGGTTTGGCCCGGGCGCATGCTGAATGTACTATCAAGCGTACCCTGGCTATGCACACACACCTCCTGTCTGCTTGGCAGGCACAGGAGCACATGCAAAGAAAATGCGGAATTCATATGTGCAATGGGTTGCAGGCAGCACAATACAGCACAATAAGTCTCTGCTAGTGTAAGTGCCATCCTACTGTTGCGCCTCTGCATACTGTCGTGACATGTCATGGCTGGCCAGCAAGATGCCCAAGCTTCATTGATCAATGTCGACATGACGAGAAGCCCAGAAACACCTGAATAGTTCAGGCGGAACGACGGAATCCAAATGCCAGCAAACGCCTTGGTAGGATCCAGATCCTGAGCTGGCGACAATAGAAATCACGAGAGCTCCGAGCTTGGCTCGACCAGCAGACCCTTCGTCTGTGCCTCAAGCACAAATTTCAACACCTCACGCCAACGTGATGCCACCATTGCCGTCTACAAGCAAGAAGCTTCGGGTTGAAAGGAATGTGCGGCAGAACATGGGGCTTGGTCTCGAGTCTGCTTCAAAGACATGGACGGCCTCTCTCGAACTGTTCACGAACTTCCGTACACAAGACTTGCCTACTTCCCTGTGTCAGGTAGCAAGGACTCCCTCGGAGGGAGGGGTCCAAACGAAGGATTCCGACCTGTCCGGTCCAAATGACGATTGGAGGATCCTCAAAGCCATGCTCTCCTACCATGGCTCCAACTTGTCGGGGTCCCCCCGACCCATGAAGCAAAAGCAAGGGGTCTTCTTCGCATACAAAAACGCAGAGACAAGGCCGTATCTCCTCAGCGTGGCTCGATTGGCACTTTCATGAAGTCTTGACCCATGAGTATGGAAGGCCGTCTCGGCAAAGGTGGGCATGGCGAACTTTATGGGTCTTAGTGGGACAAGCTTCTAGCTTCCCATCCCATCCCGGCATCTCCCATTGCTCTTCTCATCCATGACCCAAAGTACGCGCCTCCCTGTCCGATTTCACCCGAATCCAAAAGCGTGCGTGAGCAGTGCATGGTGGCTGAAATCACTAGGCAACCTGGCGCATGGGAAGCAGCTCGACCAGTCCAAAGCCTTCCAGAGTACCTGAGGCGCGCGCAGAGTTCAGAGTGAGTTCAGTCATGTGTATCGCGCAACCCCGCTCATGATTGTGGATGCTATGGAATGATGCGGGTCACGGTTCGCATCAACGATCTTTTCCCCTTCCTCGTTCCGCACGCGGGTGATGAAGCTCCATGTTGTTGAGTTGGGCACATACCTGGCAGAGACTCGATTCTTGCAGCAAGACTCGAAACCACATGCTGACATGCCCGCAAGAGCCCCACCCTGGATTGCTGACATCAACCTCAAGCGTATAGTTGTTCCGCAGCAGACCTCATCCCAAGCACGAGTTTCAACAAGTATAAACAAGTACTTGCCGCACCGTTCCGTGATGCCACATGTGTAAACAGCACCCGTGTGAAGACAAGTGCATATGGCATAGGTCGAAGCCTGCGCCATCTGGAAATCGGACACTGACCGTGGCATTGTCGTATCCCCTGCAGGTCATGCCTGCGCATTCTGTCGGATATGCATGTGGAGCTCACACCTCGGCCCAGCCTTCCGGAGGGAAAACGAAGCCGATGTCATAGCCGCGGTTGGTAGTTGGCTGTTCCACGGCGTTGCCTTGCAGATGTATATAAACACGGTCGTAGTCGTGTTTAACATGGATGGCAAAGGACCGGGCTAAGCCGCAACCGAAATCCTTCCGTGCAGTTTGTGGGGAAGATGAAGCCGTCTGGGCCTGACAGCACCTGGGACGCATGCCACGGCGCGCTGCTGGAGCGAGGTGGTGGTCAGGACACTGCGACGTGCTCGGAACAGCTTGTGGATGGCATGTAAAATACACAGGCAGAGCTACATCCGAGCTGGGATGCCGTGGTGCTAGTCGGCTTGCTACCCAGAGTTTTGGAACTCCCGTAGAGGATGCGTCGTGAGCACTGCCAAAGTCTGGCGAACCCTGCAATACTAAAGTATGCGAGCCCTGCAATTGCACAACCAAGTTTCCTGCAGGTGACTCCCTCCGCAGGGTAGGAAGCTTTCATTCCAAAAGAACTTGGTTCCAAATGTACGCACTTGTGCGCTGATTTGCATAAAGTCATAGAGCTTCTTGCTTCCGAAAGCCTGCACATTCTACTCTTTTCCATCCACGGGCCTGTGCACGACTAGGAGTTTGTAGGGAGCATCTGCAGCGATCAGCTGATGCACGGAAATCGTCTGGCCAAGAGCTGCCTCTGGCAACCCCAGGGCAGCCGCCAAGCCGCGTCGTCTCTGCTCGTGCAAATGGATGTGGACGTGCGGGTGCATCGTGCTTTGGGCATCAACGGCACCAGGCACCATACACAGAGTTTCAGCAACTGGCATGGAGGCTTCTAAAGTCCTCTCGTCACATTCCCACTCAGGATGTTCTTCACAAAGGCGGACAAACGAGTTCCTGACAGCACAGTTGTCCAAGCGGCCTGGATCCACACAATAAAAGCTTCCACCCGGAGCAAGGTGGTTTTGCAAAGCCAGTACCAAGGACGGAAGCGAACTCCGATCGTAGAGTATGTCGGCCCCGAGGATCACATCAAAGACTGGGGCTTCACCTGCAATGTCAATCCAAACGCACAAAGCCGCGCTTTCTTTCTCTCCCTAAAAATGCCGCTTGCAACACTGTGACATAGCGTCGGTCCTTCTGTCGGTTGTGCGACAGCCCAATCCAGTGCCCATGCTCGCAATGGGAGTTCGTGCTCCCAATGCTCAACAGCGTTCAGCCGAAGGTTCCGCTTCAGCCTATCCAGAACAGGCCCCGGGCGATCAGAAACAACAACCTGATTGCAAATGACCAGGGGTCGCGATGCCTTTATGCTCTTGCTGAATGAGGCCTCGCGTGCACGCACATGAAGTCAAACATGGTCAAACTGTCCTAATATGACGCGAAGTGTCGAAGTAGACATGACAAAGAGAGTTAGAGTTTCTCAGATATACTCTAGCTGTTTTGGTCCTACTCACGACAGAAAATTGTGGTCTCGGGTGGCTTGTGGGGCTGGGCCTGCTTCAGCGAGCGGAACTAAGAAGATACCAATACTTTTCTCCCTGTCCTGGCCTCGTGGGCTCCAAGTGTCGCAGCCACCAGTCCCCCGGTGCCGAGGCCGCTTCCCAGCTCCAGCACACGCCGCGACTGGACGGATCGGGAAGACACCAACCAGGCAGCCAAGACCTTGGAGATTGAGGGGCAATGAGTCTCAAAGTGCATCCTACGGCATGGCACAGGAGTCGCGGCGACAACTAAACTCCGGACGAGCCCAGAGCCCCACAGCAGCTCTCCCTGCAACAAGCCTGCTTGAGAGAATTTCTGCCGCTTGCTCCCGCGCAGCCCTCTGGGCGAAGTCACGTCATCTGCTTTCCTCCGCAGTTCTCCGGAACCAGTCAGTTGCAGCAGGCAAGATGTCGACATACCTCGGAAACACCAGCACAGCTTTTCACTTGGTAGCATGTGTACTGGTGCATGTGGGCGAATGTATGCACGCGCTTCCGTGCGTTTTACGATTTGTGCTTGCATTTTGCCCAGTGGCCAGGCAAGTGCAACTTGAGCAGGCTGCTTGGTTCGAAATCGTTCCGGTCCTCCTGCGACTTTGTGTCTAAGCCACTGTGTTCCACCAGCCGCGGCTTCATGTATGTGCGCGGGGACAGAGCCAGCTCCAAGCATGCTGCTTCCAGTAGGGTAGGCATGGCTGCGTGAATACATGCTAAGCGATCATAGACCCCTTTTGGGAGACCTGAGCCACAAGAAAGAGGCAGCAGCATCTGCACGCGAGCCTTCGGCCCTGGCATGGGGCGTGCGACGAAACATGGCGTTGGATTTGGAGCCGAGGCACAAGTTCGTTTCCGATGTCTGCCTGGTTAAGGATGGTGGATTGTCTGAAGACCTCGAGCAGCAATACGTGTGCTTGTGCACCTAGCGCACGAGACAGAGCACAGGCGATTGCTCGCTCTGCCAAGCCCATGGCAATGCGGAGCGGGTTTATTTGCCCGAAGTAGTTGAAAGTTGCTTGAATATCAACCTGGCGCCGGCACAGGAGAGGTCCCCACAGGCGGGAGTTCCACTCTGATAGGCCTCAATGCGGCCAGTGATGTCAAAGCTCCACACGAAGTCGCGCATGTCGAGCACGTCGGCAAGCGGGCCTTTGCGACAGGCTGTCAGTCAAGGTGCGATGCAAGCCGCAGTCAAGGGTTTTTCCACCTGCCATGTGAGCGGGTGTGCTGTAAACCGAGGTCGCGGCTGATGATACGGAAATTGAAGTAGTTCTGCTGCGGGGTGAACTCTGGATTAGACCTGGATTCCATGACGAGCTTAACAAGGTCAGAACAGTGACATCTGTCCAAGCACTCGGACTTCTTGCCTAGCTAGCTTATTGCGGTACCATGAGAATGGCTCAGCTGGCTACTACAAAATGAGCTTCACTGCTGCCAATCTTGCTTTTGCATATACCCACATACTCTGCTATAGTGAGAGTGGGGGGATGCTTCGTGAAAAGCAGGTCTTGAGCCATCTTTCTTGGCAATGTCTTCAGTCTGCCTGTTGACGACACGCCGAAGAAATTCTTCGGTGTTCCGTGCACTCTGTGCACGTGAAATAAGACGCAGATTTGCTTCCCTGCTTAAGCTCGCAGGCTTCCTCCCGTGATCCAGCTTAAAGGGAACGCAGATTCTGCCGAGATCCACAGCGACGAACAAGCCAGACAGTTCACTGCATCAACTGTCAACAGCTGAGCCTGTCGCACATACACGAACAGCCTGAAAGGCGAGTTTGGCTGCTTGGGATCTGAGGTGTCCATCGTGAACTCTGCGATGTTCGGCATTCGAACCTAAGTGCACGGTGTGGAGGAGTTCGGCTCGTAAGGCATGCCATATTGGCTCCCGAGAGGCATAGCATGTAGTTGTGATGGCCAGGCCAGCATCTGTGCTGAAGAAGGCGCAGGTGAAACCGAAGCCTCTGGCTGGCAGTCTACTGCAAACGCTTCGCGAGAACTTTCGCCAGCCGGGCTGAGCCACGTGCCGTGGGGAGCCGTGATCTCGATCTTGGAACCTCCAGGAATGTACTTGTCGCTCATGATGTAGAACCTGAGCGGAATATAACCTGCAGTGAGTGGTGTTCCATGTGCCGTCGTCCGGCCCGACGCGGAAGCTGATTCCCAAGCATTTATTCTAGACAAGCCTGAGCTCAGAACTCCAGCCGGTGCAGCGGCAGCAGGGTAGTCGTATCAGACGGGGTTACCCTCACGTCCTTGATCGACACAGTGAGGTGCTTCGCACCGGCTGAGCGCTTGCCAGGCCTTGATCTGCTCCAGCTCAAATCCTGGCACACTTCGCCTGGCACGGTGAGTGGCCACGGAGGTATGTCGGCATGCGGGAGCAATGCTGGGCTCCTCAGGTGAAGAATGACGTCATTCTGGAGGGTCTCGAAGCGCCACACCTCTCATTCTGGAACTTGTCACCGGCGCAGGCTCCAAGTGGAATTGAAGTTACAGTTGCACGAAGTTCTTGCATGCACGATACGATGTCCATCAGCTGAGTGCCAAGCATTATCGGCAGTAGCTGGTGTGCGGAACGGATTCGTCAAGCCGAACTCGAAAGCGTAGTCGAGCCCATATGAAACTTCCTGTTCAATAGTGAGCTCGACGTACCACCTCAGTTTGCACTGCCATGGCAGCCATACTTCCCAGATGCGGTGACATGACCTTTCGGTGCAAAATGTCCCCACATAATGTATTGGCTCGCATGGCTGCAGGTCTTGCTCTCTGCTTTAGAACGGATGAAGGGCGCCGGCTCTGTTGATATGTTTCCCCTGTTTGTGGTCGTGTTTGGTTTGGCGCATGCAAGTTGCAGGTCTTGCATCCTGCACGATTTGGGATTCGGGCCTTGCCAAGTGCAGGAGAAAGCCCGATACATCGCAGGCCTGGTTTGCACGCCGTTTCGCACAACAACCACCGAAACCGAGCCACCACAGTTCAGGCTGTGCACACCTTCCGAGCTTAGGCCATCAAACTTACTGCTGAGTTCGGTGGGGAGAAGCTTAAGGCTTCGGCTCCAATTGCATGGCGGGGTCTGCACTGACTGTCGCCCTTGCTTGCCAACCGTTTGAGGTGCAGGTGCGACCTATTCAAGCCTTGCTTCCGAACCGCTTTCTCTGGTGTCATCAGGAAATGGTTTGGCTGCGAAGAACAGCCCGACATAGTGCGACAAGAAGGATCTGATGGGGCATTCTCAAGACCGGTGGGCGAGTGCTCGTCGCATAGGCGGAGCCCACCAGCACCGACCACAGAACCCCCAACCCCATCCCTCAAACGAGATGTTCAACTATCAGCAGAGCCGCAGTTTAAGCATGTCGTCCCAAGGGCTTGGCAAGATGGCCTTAGTAGAAACCATAAACCTCGCAATTGCTCTATTCTGCATGGATCCTGGAGCCGGAGCCTCTCAATGATGGAATTTGCTGTTGATCCCAGGTGATGCAATTCGTAGCAACTAACAATCACATACAATCAGATAGCTTCTATCCAAACCAAATCTCGAAGAGGGGACCCGAGTGTCAACTTGACAACACGTAAAGACATGTTGCCCCCCACGTGCCGCGGCATGCTGCACAGTAGATGCACGCATAGACTAAAGAACCACAGCGGCGGTGCTATGTGGCGGCTTCTGTGTGCACTGATGCATGCTTGACTTCGGGTGATCAACAGCAACGAAGTTCGTTCTGCAAGTCTGAGTCCCGCGCTGGCCACTTGTCTCATCGTAACGGTCATAGCAATATGTTCCAGAGGGCAGCGACAGGTAGGAGATCTGGGTGGCACAAGCAATGGTGGCTTCAGAGCTTGTCTCAGAATTTAGAGAGTTACCCCTCCCCCCCCAGGCATCGGTACCTGCACTTTCTGCTGTAATTATTTCCCCTAAATCGACGGCCTCTTCTTCCATCCGTTGGATTCGAGCAGTTTGAGTGATTCGGTTGGCGGTGGAGCTGAAATCACACGCAAGTCGTGGGCAGGGCTGTTGGTTCCAGAACATCATTTCGGCTCTTCTACAACTACGAGTAGATAGGACTAGCATGGGCTAGTGAGCGACATAGAGGTGCAGGACAACTGTATCCTGTGAACACAAGACGTATTCTTCAAGACATTCTTGCGAACAAGCTAGGCTCAAGATATCACCACCCTGCTGAGGTCGCAGCTGTGATGGGGAAAGGGTTCTTCACCAGTTCACGGCCCACATCATAAGACAGGGAGAACAGCGCGTTCCCGCAGTCCTGTGTTGATAGTCTGACTGCATGCGAACAGCACACGAAGGCAGCGGTCCGGAAGTGGTTGGAAAGTGGGTGGCAGCCAAAGCCTCATTTGGCTCGTCCTCAGCCGACAAGACTTGACAGTACGGGTCCGGTCGGAACCCTGCAAGAGCTAAGGGCTTGACTGTCCAGTGTCCAAGCTGGCTCTCAGAGGGCTCTTCAGGTTAAGCCAAATGCCAACCTTCAAAGAGCTTCAACACATTTCGAAAGCACCAGCTGCGCCGGCTCTGGCTCTGGCTTGCGCACCCTCAGGCCCCAGCCACGTTAGTTGCCAGTGGCGACAGCACCGTGCCCGTGACGTATGCTCCGGAAAATTCTCCGAAGATCTTGAAGCCCGTTACATTCAGATTGACATTCAGCCTGAGGATGTGAAAGCTGGAGTTGTCACATGTTCTTTGCTGGCGTGGATCCTGCTATCTGGGCGCCCCGGCAACTGTTCTTGCCCAGTTGACAAGCTGAAGGCTTCGAACGTCCAGATCTTGGATACTCACGCTCGGAACGCGCGGATTGCAAAACGACATGCCGGGCCGACGGTGAGCCCCGGCCAAGCAACGAGGCGGAGTTCTGAGGACCCGGCATTGTTCACCCGGGTTGGCGAAATCTCGGGATTGCTGAGGCCCAGAATGACAACCTGGAAAGGCTCACCATGAACTCATGTAGAAGCTCCGTTAGACTGAAGGCTCATTCTTCAACAGATAGCAATGAGGAGGCGGCGAGGGGTATATCTGCAGGATAACCTTCTTCGATAGCCTCCAGCCTGGATGTTGCAGCGTGGCGTAACAATACATTAGCTGCAGGCCTTCGTGCAATCACCGGCAACATGGCACTTGCTCGCAGACCGATATTTTTTGTGTCCTCGCTGCGAGAAGATGCTGGATTTGCCCGAGCAAGGCTTGACGTTCACAATGCGGTCGTCTGTCATGATCCACATACACTGCCGTCACCACTTCGTCTGCTTCTGCAAGAGTACGTGCACGAACCTCGATGTCCGACCTGCCGTGTAGCCGCCAACGGCAGCCGAGCTCAGGCGGTGCCGTGAGCCCAGCTTTAGCTTTAGATGTGATCATTCCATTGCAGCAGGCCACCAAACTCTTGGCGGCTGGATCGCGCCCGACCACCCGCAGCGCCAAAAGCGCTCTGAAACTTCGCAGCCGCGCATCTGCCTTCCACATGCCTTGAGAACTGCTGGCCCTCATGTCCTGACCAGTGCGTGTTTTGTCCAAGACAAGCCTTGTAAAGAAGCGTCCCAGGCTGGACTGCCGCTGTAAAGCTCGGGAATGATCTCTTACATGGAATTGTCTGTGGGAAAGTGCCGTAATTGCTGGCAGCAAACAAAAACGCACCTGCCGCAAACATGTGGCCTGGACGTCCCTATGTTCCAGTATGCTGTCAAGGGCTTCCACCAGGAAGCCTACGTCAGCTTTCTGGTCCATGCTCGGCTTCAGAGTGCTGGCGGCAGACTGCATCCAAAGCTCAGTCTGGGCCAGGAACGTAGGCATCCTCGGTTGTGTTGGTCTCAGACTGTGCTTTAGTGACACAGCATATGCAGGCGTTGGTTACAACAGCATTTCTGAATTTGTCCTAGGGGTCTGTCCAGTGATGCCACTAGCCTCTGCCGCCTGCATCATGCTTCGGAGGCCCAGCGAATCAAGTCTGACGGTCGCCGGAGAGAGGCCAAACAGAAGGTTGGCTGCCTGAGCCCAGCGCCCGGCTCGGTCCATCCCGTCCAGTGCGGAGTTGACTACCACGAGACTAGGCTGAACTCTCCAACTCGTGGAGAAAGTGAGCATTTCGAGAGCCTGCTCCCACCTATCACCCTTGCTGCATGCGCTGACTGCGCTCCCTATCATGGCCAGATCCGGTCTGACAAGAGCCCACAGACGGAAAAAACCCAGCACCTGCTGCCACAAGGTTGTGATGTTGGCGTCCGGGGGGTCCGGGTTTACAGTCATGTCTGCAGCTCCCTGGCATGCTGACATTGCCGCTCCGATGCTCGGAGCCGTGATTGAAATGGCCATCTTTTCGACGTGACTTAGCAATGCAAGGGTATGGCTCCACTGGTGACTGTTTCCGGCGGCCGTGATCACAGCTCCACAGGCCGGAGCGTTTGCCTGCAGCTCAGACATGGTTATGTCTTGCAACAGTGTGCGTGCCATGGCCCAAGCTCCACGTCGTTGGCATGCATCCAGAGTGGAACCGTATGCCACGATGTTGGGGACCACCCCTATGCAAGAGCCATGGCGAAGGGCTTCCAGTGAAGAGCTCCACAGGCTGGACATGCCGAATACTCTGGACGCCGTGCCGTATGTTACCTGTGAAGGACGAATGCTCGCCTTTCGCATCGTCGAAATCAAAGACCAGACTTTGTCATCAACAGAGTCGGATGAGTCTAAGAGCATAAGTGCGGTGTTGAAGGACACCTCGTCGACTCCAATAGAAGCGGCGGCCGATTTCAGAACCTGGAGACAAACTTGCCACAATTTCTCCGACGTCTCCGCTGCTCGGCTGAGGGCGCTCATGAGCACGTTGATGCATTGCGTGTCGGGCTCTGCAAATCCGTTTTGCATCTCTCGAAGCAGCGCCTGCGTCTTCTTCCAGCGGCCGGCCTTGCTGTTCGAGTCCAGGACACCACTGAAAGCGATCGCATTTAAGCGAAGGGCGCTCTCTCTCGCAGCAGACAGCAGCAAACCTGACCGCCTCCAGAGTGACATTCCAGAACACGTAACAGCAGCTATACCATACGAGAACTTGTCAACTTCCATGCCGACTTCTCTGACCAGGGGCAAGTTCTGCAGTGCAACACGCCATGCCAGGGACAGGCTGCGTGCACCATTGCACGCGCTCGCAACGGAGTTGTATGCAGCTTGATCAACACGCAGACTTTTTCCAAAGGCTCCATGCAGCAGGAGAATCGCTTGCAGCCACTGCTTGGCATGCGCGAGCTTCCCAAATCCCTGCCTCACAGATGATGGGATCCATGAGCCATCAAGCTGCAACACTGCTCGTCTCCATTCGTCAATCCTTGTGGTAGTGTGCTTCAACCGTTGACAGCGCTGACGATTCCGACTGTTAGCCCTGCGGTGCCCGAGAGGGAGGTTGCCTGACCCTGCTGGTGCAAGTTGCACTTGCCTCCTTGCCATGGTGATGCCATTGTGCAGACATGCTGCCGAGACCGGTCGCGTGCTCCCAACTATGCTACTATGCGCTACTTGGAACTTTGGGCGAGGGCCTTGAGCCAAGGCGTTTTTGCCATCTACCCAGTCGACGATGACAAAGCATGTGCAGCCCATGGAGACAGCTCGCAATGTCGCTTGGGGCAACGCTCAATCGTATTCAAGCTCTGGCGTCGTTCAACCTGCTCGCATTGAGAGGAACAGACAGCACATCCGAGACATGGCCAGTGCCTATGAGACATTCATTCCCCTCTCCACTGGGTTCTCGTGGAGTCTGACCACCGTCTACGGCTTGCATGTCCTCTTAAAGTCTACATTCCGCCAAATGAGCAAAGGCCTTCTTCAACCAGTTGCTGTTCATGTGATCACACTCTAGCTACACTGTCATTACGGCTTCTTTGGACAATAAACAACCATTGATTTCATGCAGCCGTGGACCGTGGAGCTGCACATGTTGGGACACGCCACCTCGTCCGTAAACTGCCTGAATCCTCGGCCACTTCTTCCAAGTCGTGGCGTCCTTCGAAGTCCGTTCACGCCCCGGCCAAGCTTGTGGAGCGAAGTCGCGGTTTCGCTTCTGCAGGCGCGACTTCCGTTCGCAGTACTGGGTGTCCACCACAATCTGGCAGCGGCCTGTGGCCACTTTAACGTGATTCTGTCTCACAAGGTTCTATCGCGCGTCTGCTCGGACCACGGCATCCGATTCCTTGTGGCACAGCAGTCACGGTGGTCACTGTCCCGCCTTCCTCCGTACAGCATGCTCAGAGCATGCTGGAGACGTCTTGGGCCAATCGCCACCCCCTTCTCTGCCTCTAGGTGCCACTATGAGTCAGACCCGCTGTGTGCAACTGGAACGGACGCTTCTCCTCAATCTTCTGCCGCTCGCTTAGCCTTTCTTCTCTCAATCTAGTCGCATGGAAATCATGCCGGTCAATGCTGCTCTGAGCCCGCAGGCAGCCGTCCCGAACTGCGTGCCTGCTGAGGAAACGTAAATCCAGTCCTTGGTCTGTGCCGTTTGCGAAACAAGCGGGAGTCCAACTAACCTAGCAGTCCTCATGATTGATAACACTAGCCGGCGCCCTGGCTGTATTGCAGGGCCGGAGAAAGCCGCATTTTCTCCTGCCATCGACATCAAGTAGCCCATGTGCCACATAGACCATGCTTGTAGTTTGCACCCCCTGCCTCGCATGTATTCCACAGGGAATTTGATGCGCAGAATAGCTCGAGGGTCACACCTTATGCTCGCTTCAGAGAAAGCCAACATGTTGTGCCACAGGCCGGAGAAACGTGCTTTTTGAATATGTCTGCAGAAAGCCGCTTGCCTGTCCTCGGCATTCGGGCATGTCACTTGCAGCCTACGCTAGCTTGCCTGATGACAACTATGTACAGGTGTGACGGTTTCGCAACCGGTCGCAAACGCTGAAGCATGCGCTCCACAGCATGTAGCCACTGGAGTTCCTGGCTACTCCAAATCAATCGCAAGGGAAGAGGGATTGGATTTATGGATTTGCGTGAAAATCTTGCCATCTTCTGGTTGGTTCCCCTGTGTGGCTGGTGTAAATGTAAGGTCTATCTCGCCCGACGTGCCTTCGATCCCGGGGCGCAAGGTCACCGAGAGGCTACTGAGGCTGCTTCTCCCTCTACTCTTGGAGCCGGGAGCACGGCGACCACGACCGCGACCCCGACCTTCGCATTTGCTGTGTGCTGATTCCTTTTCATTGGAAGCTTTGCGCTTCCTTCCCGCAATGCTTGGAGCCAGCTCTTTCGTTGCAGCATTCGCCTCAGACCGCTTCGAGGAATCTGTAGACAGCGATGAGCTGTCCGAGCTATTGCCTGATGAGTCTGATGATCCGTGCGACGATGACGACTTGGAAGATGCTGTCGATGGAGAGGCCTGTCTGAGTCGGGACAGAAAGACCCGTCGGAACTGCGGAGGGCATGTGCTAACTAAAAGATCTGCAAGCAGTTTCGCATGTCGCGGAAATGGGTTGAGAAGTGTGAAGCGGACCCTCGCATTGCCGAACCTGCATGCCATCTTCCAAGGACTCGCCGTTGAGCCATCGACGGATCTCCGCAAGACGAGACTCTCGGGTGCCCTGACAACCTGTTCGCTGTGGAAGGCTGGCTGCTACATGTTGCGAGAGTTCCAGGCAACTTCTGTAGTTTTTCACCATGACTTCCAGATGCTTCTTTTCGAAGTCGTTCCCCTTCTCGCCAGTAAGCCCGGGATGCAAAAAGTCACTTCCTCCACCCAAGCATGACTCTGGGCTCGATGTCACGAAGGAAGCGTCCACGCATTCGTATTGAACTCCTAGGACAGACTTTGTGCGATGTCGACTCATCTTCTCTTCTATGGTGCCTTGATGGACCAGCACCTCAATCCAGTCACGGTCACTTGTGTTTGACAACTGTTTGGCAGTCTTGCTTCCAACGTTTTTTGTGAGCTGCTCGGTACAGGAATACTGAGTTCCAGTCATAGAATGTGGGCCGTGCCTCAGCTTGCATGAAGCCCGTGTCAATGGGCGCAGCAGTGTGACCAAAACCCGACTCTATCATCATTATCTTGGGTTCGTTGCTTGTTGTCGGGCTTGACCCTGCAAGTAAGCGGAAGCGAAGCCTGCATGGCCACGCATCACACATTCTGCAGGCTTGATTTCAATACCCTTCGGATGGTAAGGGCCAACCCCGTGTCCCCCCGTTTCAACAAAAGGCAAGGTGCAGGGGGCAAGGTCTACGCTCGAGTTGCGTTTGAGAAATACATAGGTTCGACAAAGTCGCAAAATCGTCCAGCATCTATACTAACATTGCACCTAAGAGCTGGAAATGATGCCTACGAGCTGCCGGCCAAACAACGACGGACGGTTCTTGCACAGGATTACTTGTCTGCGAATGACTTCCTTGCAGGTACAGGTAGCACATCATGAGAACAACGAGGTCAATCGGAGCTTGCACCTACCGAGGTTGGGAAGGAACTTGGAGTAGCGGATTGATCTGAAAGGAAGCAGCTACATTTTCACTTACATGTTGCGGACGAGCTGCTCCGGTGGCTTCCCATCGCTGACGCTTGATTGGGCCCCATCTGAGAAGTCTTCCCAACCTCTGCTGCTCTTGCCTGCGGCTTGCGAAATGGCCGCCCATCTGTATCATCACCTGTAGCCATGTACGATCGGAGTATCTAGGTCGTATGCTCTGCTGGCTTGACATTGCTGCTCCACGGAATCATTGTAATCATCAGATCATCACAGGGTTGCCAAAATGGGTCAATTGTAAGGGAGGTGAAGGGAGGGAGCGTGGGTGAGGCCTGTAAAATGGTCGCGAATCGCCTGATGCTTCTAGTGCAACAAAAAGTGCCAAAGATTGCCAAAGCACAGACAGCTCGGGGAAGTCGGCACTGTCATCCAGAACGTGTGTGGCAACCAGTGCCAGAATTTTCCGCTGACGGAAGCGTTCCAGGTAATCCTTCATCTGCGAGGCCGGAACAGAGCCGTCAAGTGGTATGATGCCAAACATCGCGGCCAGCAGCCTGGCTTGTTCACAGCGCTCGACTGTGATCAGCATTGATTCGCCGGCATGCTTTGCGAGCAGGTGTTCTAGGACAACCCACTTCTGGTAGGACAGGCAAACAGCCGCCGCAAGCGGCTGCTTCTTGAACATCTTGCGCCATTCCCCAGCCACTGGTACGGAAATCTCGAGGCATCGAACCGGGGCGAGAAACTCCGGGGCCAGGTTTGCGAAGGTTTCGCGGAACACGCACGTGCCAAGCAATGGCCAGGGAACATCCCCTTCAGGAGCACCTTTCACCCTGCCGCCCTCGCGGAGAAGCGTTGCTGTCAGCCCAACAAGCCGACGGCCCTTTCTGTTCTCTAGTAATGTCTCCAAGAGCTCGCAAATCTTTGGTGCCGGTACCATGTGGCACTCATCGGCAATCAGCAGCGCTTCGGATGAGGAGCGAAAGCGGGCAGCGACGGCTCCCCCGGCGTCTTCATCAAGCGCACCTCCTTCACCGATACCATCATCTTCCCAGTTTAAGGACTTTGGGGTCTGAGAACGCCTCTTTTCAGACAACATGCGATGGTATGTCACCAGCAGTATTTTGGAGCTTCGCAGAGTATGGGCGCCGGCTTGACCAACTTCAAGAGCCCCTAAGTCCCAGTTCTGCAGCAATTCACGGCACCATTGCCGGACACCTTCGCGACGGAGGCACAGGACAACGACACAGCTTTTCGGATGCTCATTCAAAAACTGTGCTGCGATGGCTGCCCCGACCCGGGTCTTGCCGGCACCACAGGGCAATACAACACAGCAATTCGACGGTGTTGCGGTCTGAACCGCAGCAACAGCCTCGGACTGATAGGGACGCAGCGATGTCATCTTCGCAGGCTCTTGAAACTGCGAGACTTCTTTGTGCCCTCCCGTCTCTGACAAAGTCCAGACATTGCCAGAAGTTTCTGAAGCTTCATCTGGTCTCGATATTTTCCACTGCTGCCACGCCAGTTTGTCTCTGTCCGACATGCGTCGCTCGGCACTTCTGCCGTATGCCAAAAGCTCTTCCTCGCTCGCGCAAAGAGCCTCAGCTATCATGGTAATACCATCCAAGAAAAGCTGGCCAAACAGTCTTGGCATCACTTATTCAATTTAAGGCACAGCCTGTCGGGAGAGTATTCCATTTCTGAGACTGTGCCAAAGACCGGCACTTGCTCGTGTTGCTGCACACAGGACACGGATGGACGAGGTGGGAGAGTGCAGCGCCACTGCTAAGTTGCCGAGGCGGTCCGAGCACCTGGCGAGGAGCCGTGCTTTCATCTTGCCAGTCCTAAAGATAGGCCTGCCTATAATACAATAGACGAGGCCGGGGACGGGGTGGTCAGCTGAGCTCTGAGAATCCTGCTTGGCTGCTCCGGGGTCGCCGTCATCTGCCCAGGAAAGTGCTTCACAGACCTCTCAAGGGTACCAGTGCATCGCAATTGCGTATGCTGTCTCACGAACCGCTAGGCACACGTCTATCCAATCAACCTTGACAAAGAAAACTGAATTCGCATGTATTGTCATAAAGCGTAAGCCTGTTCAATGCAAGAAACAACTCCGAGACGCCCGTGTACCCTCTTACCAATTCGTCGATGCTTGTGCTTGTCAGCAGCGAGTAGGAAAAGATGCCTGCGGTGAACGCGAAACAGTCTTCAGATGTGTGCTGTGGCTATGTTGCCGAATAATTGCCGTTCTGCTGTCTGTTGTACTGGGGGGCGGGGAGATGCCTCAAGGCAGGCCCCCCCCCCTCCAACCCGCTTAGTCGAAAGAGCAGCTTCTCGAAAGAGAATAAATTTGCCCGAGCCCCCTCCCCCTGACGTAGATGCTTGAAGTATCATGGGCAAGGGCCCCCTAGTATGCAGCTTTTTGTTTGTTACTTTGTATTTCGTCATTCCTGACACGCCGAGCCGGATAAAGGAATTCTGCGGAATGCTGCCAGAGCCCTGGTCGGGTCCGTCGTCTTCTGTTCGACGTTGTCCGCCCATTGCCTAATTAGTTTGTTGGAAGTTGGCACTTGACGCTTTGGGGCCGCGCGGGCCTTGGCTGCACCATGTGGGGTTGAGCCCCACTACACTGTGGAAGCGCCATTGTTGCCCCTCGTTGGAGGCACGCCTCCTCTCGCCCGGAGACTAGGGGGTTCGTATGTCCCCAATCTCTTATTCACCCCAAGCTCGCTCGTTTGGTGCTATCCCGGCAGATGCTTCGAGATATCTGGAGAAGCCCTGCGTGCTCTGCTCTCATGCCGATAACTCAGTTCATAGTTGGCAACTGAGCTGCTCTTCAAGTCCGGTTTCAGAACATGCTCGTGGCACTTGGGTGCTCAGCTGAGCAAGTGAACCATGCTAAGCGATGTTGAGTGCCGCTTTGAGGACTGAGTTGGGCTCCTGATCTGCTGACGGTGCCCGCTACTCCTTCGTTTTCTTTGCCGGCATATGCTGTCGAAGGTTTGCATTCGAGGGTGATGATAACCAATGCAGGAGCTCCATGGCTGCTCAGACAACTTCTCCGTCCTCTTTGTTGTACTTGGGAAGGTGGGCGTTCCGTTTGGTTGCAATTGTTCAGGATGACAGTCTTCAGCTGCTTGCAAAGGCAGAAGTACAGGAAGATTGGCTGGACTGAAAGGTTGTCAAAGAGGCTAGGAGACTCACTCATAGCTTATGCACAGCTCAGCTAGTCGACGACTCTGAGTTGAGAGATGCTACAATTTTTTCGCCTCGTCGCATCTCTACACACTTGTGCTGCAACATGCGTTGATGAATCTGCTGCTGCACGCAGAACATGGTGTCTGGAGCAAGTTGAGAAACTCCAAGAGTCTCCCTGGTGAGTTGGGCTGCGGATGCTCTCGCTCTGCTTGCAGATAGGCGGCACTAGACCGGAGCGTATGTGTGGCTCGACGCTTGACAGGGCCGGAATCCAGCTGCATTGCCAACCTGACGGTTCCCACTCAGGACAGCAAAATCACCCAAAACCGAACGTGGACGAGCTCAATGAAGCAAAGAGGCGCAGCTGTCGCTTGGTCAGGATCTGGCCACGTAAATCCTCCACCAACTCCGCCTCCAAGGACGGCCTCAAGTGCATGGTACGTGTCGTGCGATCATGCATGATCTTGCCTTCTCCGGCATGCCTTCTTTCACTGTAGTTTGGGCAGTTCCTTTCGGGCCACTAATCTGGAGTCAGTACAAGGCGCGGCAGCTGCCTCAGCTTGGCGGCGTGCAACCTTCCGTGCCTTCCCCGGGGCTGCGAAAATGCCACAAGCCCACTCCTGGACTTCAGCCAGCCTTGGTTCGTCCCCGCCAGTCAAACTCGCCACATGACGTGATGCATGATGTCTGTCAGTGTCAGACATGCTGAGCCTTCCACTTTTCTTGCTCTTCTGTAGCAAGCGCCATGAAGCTTAACGGCAGTCAAGAAAACAACGACATCCCGAGAGACGACACTTTGCAGTGAGCACTACAGTCATGGGTAACATCTGTCGCGTGCTGAAGATGACTTTCCAAGGCCGAACTGTTATATCCAATGTTTGCGTCTGGCCTGTGACTCCTTGTCGCTACAGCCTGACACCTTTGCACGCCTTACAGCTCGGAGCCCAACACACGTAAATACACGTAAGCTTTCAGCTATTCCAATACTGCTCGCTTGGCCGTCGCACTGCGTAGCCAACCGCAATGTCACGGTGACATAGTTCTCAATGCTGCTTACCTGAAGGGTACCAATGTGCCGTCAACGGAGATTAGATGTTCACACTGTCACAAGCTGCTGCTGGCCTTCGTGTTTGATGGCACAATCGAATCCACGGATACGATTCCGATAAGGGACACGCCAGGCCTCGCATGAAATCGGCTCAGCTTAAGCATTCCTTTGCGCAGAAAGGCTGAGGTTTAAACACCTGTGGCTTCTCGTCCAAGATCGTCTTCTCACCTTGGAGATTCAGCTTTACAGTGAACTTTACAGTCAGCTTTACCACTGCCTGCCCTTCTTCTCAATTTCTCTGCAAGGTCGGGATCGTGGTCTCAGGCGGGGTCTGTCTGAGTTCCGCGTCATGAAATGCCACCTCAGCGTTGGGATTCTGAATTTACACAACCGCAAGATGAACAATCCTCTGATGTCTTCTGCTTGAGATCTAAGGATCGCGACGAATTCGCAGCAGCACTTGTAGGAGGATTGCGCGCATTGTAACCTGAAGAGAAACACATGACGCCGCAAGCCTGCTTCACCTGAGACTCGGACCTTGCCTTGGATCAAAAAGCGAAAGATTCGCCGAGACGGCAAGAAGACCATTGGCGCCACGTAGAGATCCAAGGTACTGCCCTGCGGCCAGAGACCCGTGCCCGAATGCACTCATCAGGCCAAACCTTGCAGATGGTGCGTGCCTGGCTTTCACAGGATATGAGGTCTGAAAGCCTTCCGCCGGGATCGCATTTTGACCTCACTGGCTGCCAGGGACACGCTGCAGAACTGCGCTTGCATGAAGGATGGCCTCATATCCAAGCACAAAGTCCGATTCGTCCGCCAGGCATCCTCTTGCGAGGGTGACAGAACCATACCTTGGATCGGGGCGGGCCGTCGCAGCTTCCAGCCCCAGTGCTCGGCACACAATGGTTCCTTTGGGCTGCAAATCTGAGAGGGCTCACCGAGCGTTCTCAACTCGTCCAGTTCGTCCATGATTACGCAGGGGGTGAACTCCAGCGCACATGCCCTGGAGGCACATTCTGCTGGATCACTGCTATGGTGGGGGAGCTAGCAGGGAGCTGGCAGCTAGCATTTCCAATGATCTGTGGCCCTGTCCAGGCCATGGTTCGGAGGATGTGGCAAATCGTGACCTTTCCATCGGGCTCCGGCTGTCATCTGACAAGCCTACTTTTTGTTCTTGGGGGCGGACTCTTTGTGCTGGAGGGCGCTCCTGCGAAGCAGTCGTAAGCTGCTGCTGCAAGCCGTTGCAGTGCCGCGGTGCAAAGTGGCGTGCTGACAAAGCTGTCCTGTCCGGCACCTTGTGGTGCTGGTTCGGACTCCAGTGGATCGTATCCTGTGCGGCTCAGCAGCGACGTGCATATGTGAGGACCTGTTCAAGGTTTTACAATTTCACCCCGGCTCATGTCCAGCCAGCAAGAGTGCTGGAACCTATATGAATCTTCTTCTCGTCGCCATGACCCCTGAACACGATGCGACATACTGATTAGCAAGTTTCGAGCCCGCTTGGCCCAATGTAATATGCCAGGAAGAGGGGGACCTGACTCAGCCTCCATAGCCCTCCTTGCTGACTTTACGGCTGACTTCTGTCCCACGGCTCTCCCATTCCTGGATTCCTCACACGCCCGAGCCTGCCCACCGCATGCCTGACACCTGCTTGCACTTCCGTGCCCTGTTCACTGGCTGCACGGCTCGTCTGTTCGTGGAGCGATTTGGGCTCGCCTTTGTGCTCGGCTGCCGTCGGCTGCCCTGTCTGCTTCGCTCGCTTCGTCACGGCGTGACCGCTTCTCCCCCCTCCCCTCCGCTACCTTGACAGCAACCCTGGGCTTCCCGGGCATCCCTGCCGTGAAGGACTTTCTCTTCCTCCCTCCATCTCAACCATCCGTGAAACTTGGCTGGGCCTGGAATCAAGCAGTCTGCAGACACTGGTTTTAATTGCTTCGGCTTTTCTTTGCTTTTGAAAACACCGCTCTCTGCCCTGCTGCACCGAATTCGCTGCCGGTGAACCGGTCAACCTCAATGCTTGTGGGCTGTACTGACTACAGACTACAAAACGGAACCGAGCTGACTTTTCAGTGAGCGATCGGAATTGCCACATAGTTGCCCGTGTCGGTGGGGGGAGAATCTGGCTCCCAGGTGAGATACCACCTTCCTGGCCCTGCACAGCATGGGCTCTTCAAGCAGAATCTAGGTGTAGCTTCCAGGTCTTCCAGATTAGGCAAGATGTGTAAAACTCCGAAGGTCCGGACCGAACAACGTCGGAGTGCCCATGTGTACTGCGCGGTCATCCAACCCTCTGCTCAATTGCAAGGACTTCGGTGTGACAGAACAGCAATACGACTAACATGCACTGAGTATCACCGATGGAGCCCTGAAGCCTGAACAGAGCCGGCGAAAGCAGAACAGAGTTCGGACTAAGGTCCAGACGGGTATCTGCTGTTTCAATCAGCGGCCCAAAGTAATAGTCGTCGGGCGCAATGATTCGAATCGAGCCACCAGATGGCACCTTGCTGCAGAGCCGGACCATGCCCAGCAGAACTTGTGCTGCCTCGCTTCCCCCCAGTCTTGCTCTCAGCCTCTGTAACAGTTTGAAGCGTAAGGGTGAAGTTCGTGTACCTTCATTAGCAGAGGAGCTCCAGTGTCACTTTCCATCAGGTGATGTCTGCGGCCCGTGCAGTCCGTAACCAGGATTGGCCGTCTCCACTGATGTCATGGTAAGTTCCGGGTAGATAACCCAGCCCGGTGCCGTCCAAACCTCGCGCCATGGTGGTGGCGCAGACCCAGAGTCCCGTCCCCACCCATACTGAGCAGGAGACCTCCTTCCCCATCGCCGTGCTTGTAATGGCCTGGGTCCGTGGGTCCGGCAGTACAGTGCGCGCACTTCGCAAACTCTAGAGTTGGACATTCTTGGGCCAGGTGACCTCGATCTGGAAGAGATTGAGCTGTGGCGTGCTCTCCGCATTTGTCGCGTTCATGACGAAAAACTCGAAGACAGGACCTGGTTGGAGCACGACAGCGGCAAGTGCTCAGGGATGAGTCACCTATTCTGAGGATGATAAGGCATTGGCCCGAGATCAGCGGCCGACCGCCCAAGATGGGC